TTCCTCAAACCTGGTAATTTTGCAAAGCTAATTAGGTACTCGATGACAAGAAAGGATAAGACATTCAGTGAACGCGCAAGTGGTGGTGTCTGTCTACTCACCTCAATTAATTGCCCTTCGAGTGCTCTCCCTTTGGATACTCCTCTCCAAGCAGTTGCAGTACAGTTGAGCATTCGAACACTGACTACTGTCTGCAGTATTTACATCCCGCCTAATGAGAACATTAACTTAAGAGATTTAGAGGATCTAATTGCCCAATTACCAGCTCCGTTTATTCTAGTCGGTGATTTCAATGGACACAATCCCTTGTGGGGTAGTAAAGACACCAACCCACGAGGAAAGCAAATTGAACAGCTACTCCACGACCACTGTCTCTGTATCCTTAACAACACAGAAAGCACTTATTTTCATCAGCCAACAAGGACCTTCCATTCCATTGACCTTGCTATTGTTTCTCCACAGCTTTTGCCTTTTTGTTTTTTTAATGTCGAGAATTATCTATATAATAGCGATCATTTTCCTATTATCATAAGCATTACAGAAAATAGGAGTGTGTTTATACCTAGAACACCACGCTTTTTGTTGGACAAAGCCGACTGGTACTCTTTCTTACATTATGCTCTTTTTACTGAAGAAATAATAAAGAATGTGCACATTGATCAGGCTGTGAAGATCATTACAGATAAAATTATTCAAGCAGCTGATATATGTATACCAAAAACGTCGGTAAAACAGCCAAAATACCCAAAACCCTGGTGGAATCCTGAATGCCAGGACGCCATCAGAAAACAAAGAAAAGCTTGGAGCATTTTTCGGCGATATCCTTCAGAATCAAATCTCGTAATATTCAAAAGGGCTAAAGCAAAAGCTCGGCAGGTGCGAAGGAAAAGTCAGAAGAATTCTTGGATCTCGTATGTGTCTTCGATTAGCTCTTCAACTTCGGGTAAGAAGGTGTGGGAGAGAGTCCGGAAAGCGTCCGGTATCTACAAAGAGCACACACTTTCCATTTTAAAGACAAGTGGTGAAACAGTTACTAGTAGGGAAAGAATTGCCAACGCTATTGGGACAGTTTCTCAGCCGTCTCTTACACAGTAGTAACTACCCTCTAGAATTTCTTTCCGCAAAAAAATTGCATTGAAAAAACAACTAATTAATCTCAACTCTTCCCAATACTGTACCATATAATCAGGATTTTACTGTGCTTGAACTGAAAAGAGCTCTGCTGCAGACAAAAAATTCATGTCCTGGTCCAGATGATATTGCCTATCCTATGCTGAAACATCTTCCTTCCAAGTCATTGGCAACCATCCTCTTTCTCTTTAATAGAGTATGGAAGGAACAAGTCTTTCCAAATGACTGGAAAATAGCTTTGTCATCCCCATTGTTTAAACCAGGAAAAGACCCTACTAATCCGTCGAATTACCGTTCCCATTCGCCCTTACTAGCTGCCTCTGCAAACTCTTTGAAAAGATGGTCAACACTCGTCTGGTTTATTATATTTAGAGACAAATAACTGTATCTCCCCTTATCAGAACGGTTTTTAGAAAAGGAAGAGCAACTATCAATAATATCCTACTCTTAGAAACAGGTATCCGTAGAGCGTTCGTTAGAAGAAATCATTGTTTCCATTTTCTTTGATATAGAGAAAGCCTATGATACCACCTGGAGATACGGCATCCTTCGTGACCTATATAACAATGGTTTACGAGGAAACATGCCGATATTCATCAAACATTTCCTACAGGATCGGAAGTTTCATGTGAAGATAGGCGATACACTTTCTGACATGTTCCATCAAGAAGAGGGCGTTCCGCAAGGAAGTGTATTAAGTGTTACATTATTTAGTATAAAAATTAATTCTGTTTTAAAACAACTGCCTCTAGCAGTCCAGGGTATGCTCTATGTCGATGGTCTGCAAGTCAGTTGCCAGGGAGAAAACCTGAAAGACATCGAATGTAAATTGCAGACATCTCTCAATAGAATTGTTAAATGGTCACAGGAAATTGGTTTTAGATTCTCTACTCAAAAGACTGTGTGTACATTTCTGTCGAAAGAAAATTCTTCACCCTGACCCGGAACTTTATCTGCAAGATGTGCTGATTCCTGTAGAAAAGGAAATAAAATTCCTAGGAATGATATTTGACCATAAGCTTACGTTCCTCCCCCATATTACATATCTAAAAAAGAAATGTTTAAAAACTATGAATATTCTGAAAGTACTGTCAAATACTTCTTGGGGTGCTGATCGAAGCTCAATGCTTCTTATATATAGAGCTCTCATTCGTTCGAAACTAGATTATGGATCAATCATTTATGGGTCGGTATGGCCTTCAGTATTAGCCAAACTTGATCCGATACATCACCATGCACTTCGGATATGCACTGGTGCCTTTAGAACTTCTCCAGTGGAAAGCTTATATGTGGAAAGTAACGAGACCTCCCTGCGGTTAAGACGTGAAAATCTTTGTCTTAGCATTATTTCAAAGTCTTATCACAAACCGAAAATTCTACACGGTCAATATTGCTTAATGACCAATACTCCCGTTTATATCAGGCACGACCATCATGTGTCCCATCTTTCGGCTTGCGGATGAGTGCTCTGGTGGAGGAGTATAATTTATCTAATATAGATATACAGATGGAGGATTTTTTTGGAATTCCTCCCTGGGAGGATAGGAGAATCCATTCTCTGGATACTTTTCGACACTGGAATAAATCACAACTAATGAAATCATCTACAAGCAGATTTTTTTTCAACATAGAAACAAATATAGGAAATATATCCCTCTATATACAGACGGATCAAAATCCCAGGATCATGTTGGCGTTGCTTTCGTCACAGAAAAAACAATAGTAGGGGTTCGATTACATACAGTTTGTTCTGTGCTTACTTCTGAGCTTACTGCAATCCATCTGGCTTTGACTTACCTTTCAAAACAAAAGTACACAAAATTTATTATCTACACAGATTCCATGAGTGCCTTAATGTCATTGAAAAATCATGCTCAATGTACTCATCCAGTTGCAATCAGAATCCTAAAGTTGAATCATTCTTTAAAAATTCGGGGATACCAGATTCTATATTCGTGGATCCCTGGACACGTTGCCATTAAGGGGAATGAATTGGCAGATATTGCAGCTAAAACTGCAACCACAATGTACAATCTTCAGATTCCACTAGCAGACATCAAAGGGTTTGTCAAAAGCAAAATCCTCAGCAAATGGCAGAAGCAATGGGATGACAGAGTATGTAACAAGCTGAGAAATGTAAAACCCACCATTGGATACTGGCCATGTATGGTTAATAGAAAGGAAGATGTCCTCTTGACTCAACTGAGAATTGGCCATTGTCGCCTGACCCATGAATATCTTCTGAAGGGAGAAGAGAATCCCAGCTGCCCAAACTGCAACGCAGATCTGACAGTTCATCATATCTTGGTGGAATGCCAGAGTTTTAATTATTTTCGCCAAAAACATTTTAATAGTTCTTAACTGGACTTAAAAAATTTAATTGGAAAAGCATCATCGTAATTTGTTTCTGTTTTTAAAAGATATTGGCTTTTGTAATAGATTTTAACCTGTTTTTTTTTAAAGATATGAGCTCTTATCATAGACTGTAATCTGTCTCTTACCTAAGCTGGAAGTTTTTACAAATGACTAATTGCATTGTTACCATTTGTCTGGCGCAGATAACCTTGACAGGTTTTGTGCCAAATTACAATAATCCAATCCAATCTCACTGCTTCAATGATTTTCTGCAAGCCCATCAGCGGCCGACCGGTACCTCGCTGAACACTGGTAGTTAGGTCGGGGGTTCGAACCCCGTCAAACAGGCTGGCTGTATGTGGTGTTCGCGATTTCTCCCTGTGTAACGTATATATGACCCAGTTTCTCTTAAAACGTTCTCAACGAAGGTATCCCTCCCCTTAGACAGATAGCACTCGAGTGCTTCGCAGTAACTAAACCAAACCACGGTTTTCTATCCAGCTTTTAAACGACAGAAGATTTTCCACCACATTCTCAAAAATAACACTTTGGAACCGTAACAAACCATTTTGAGCCCTTACACAATGAAATCGAACCCTAACTTGCAAAAATGCATTACATCTGCATTACATAACAAATTACATTTGGGAAAATTTTACTCATTACAAAGTTATCAGATGTTTGAATGCCGTACGACAAAAATTGAATGGGATATTAAAATCTAAAATTTGAGATTTTTGATGTCATTATCAACTTCGGGTAGCAGTTAATTTAGTAAAACTAATTTAAGGAAGTAAGTTTAAATGAAATGCAGCTAAAAATGTGTAATAGGCCGCATAAGGGAGGGTTAAATACTGTGTAAAAGTTAATATTGTGTATGCGTTAAATTTAATGAATTCTATAGGTTTTGCATTATGAATTTGCATAAAAATCACTCATGTACGATCCTGGAAAGGATTAATTCATTTCACCTTAATTCCTATAAGGAAAGTTGTTTTAGTTTACGAATATTCAGATAACTACCTTCAGGAACGAATTAAGTTTGTGAATCAAAGTTTCACTGTAAATCTTCAATATAATTTTAGCCCTTTTTTGAAGATTACAGCGATTCGTTTTGGAAATGACCGATTAAGTCATGTACAATCTATATAAAGGTACTTTAGCCATTCCTATTGAGAAGTGTTTATATTGATGAAATATCAGTGTGAAGGAGGAAAACGTTGAGATGTGCATAATACATTTGTTGAAGCATAATTTATATCCCCTTCTTAACCACCACCACAACTACATAAAAATTATGTAAAGCTTCTACAATAAAATTAAAATTTTTTAAATAGTTTCTTACTCGATAGTTTGAATGATTCTTTTTCTGAAATTTTGAAATGTTATGATACTTTAGGTAATCTTCCGAGAAAATGTGTCAGTAGTCACATCGAACCATTTAATTTGTAAAGCAAAGTCTTTGAGCTACGTTTCAGAAATATGTAAAGATTAACCTTTCTTCTCACTCTAGATCAACCAACATACAACTGGCCGTGTGAAAAACATGGACTTTGTAGGTTTATCCCAACAACCTTTAAAGACTGTCCTTGTGCCTTGTTTATACTTATTGCAAAACTTAGATATTGGGAACTGAAGCCGTTTAAAATGAATGGTACATCAGATGGTATAATGGGAATTCTTGAGATGAACACGTCTTTTCCTTTTGCATGACCAGTTAAAATAGTTGCTTCAATAACATTTTTCATGAGCTTCTTGACAGATAATCTTGTACCATTGCAAAGTGAAGGGGGATCCAAATTTCTCAACAGAATTATGGGTGCACCAACTTTCAACACCAGAATATGCGAAGGTACTACAGTTCCAAAGAATTCCAACTGAGTTTTCGGTAATAATAGCCTCATCTACAGAACCAATAGTTTTCACTAAAGGCAACACTAAACATTAAATTTAAAAAGTGCCCAGAATTTTACTCTCCAGAACAACTTTATCAAAAAAAAAAAAAAAAAAAAAAAGAAAGTTCAATAAAAATGGATTGTATATTAAAAAAATTACAATGAACTAAGCAGTATCCCTTAATACAAATATTTATTATCCTAATAAATAAACTAACAAACTTCTCTTTGCAAAATCTTATGACCTTAAGTGGAATGAGGTTAAGAACTTTGAAAAAAAAATCACTCAACTTTTCAATATCTTAAAAACAGGGAAGCAAGCAATAAATAACATAAAAGAATAAAAAAAAAAATTCTGAAAAGCAAAGTATAATTAATGATATTTTATCTTATATTTTCAAGAGAAAAGAATTACAATAAAATAAGCTACATCCCTTAACACAAATATTAATTATCTTAATAAAAAATTAACCAACTTTCCGTTGAAGAAAAAAAATCATGCAAAACTTTTCAATATCTTACAAATAGTGAAATAAGTAAAAAATAACACGAAAGAAACTCAAAAAACAAAAATATTCAAAAACAATTTTACTCTGCAAGAACAACTTTATAAAAAAAAATCAATAAAAATGTATTATATATGTAAAAAATGACAATAATATATGCTACTCTCTTAAAAACAGTGACATAAGAAAATACGATGAAAAATTGTTGCCAAACCCATATTTCTAAAAGAATTCAACTATTCAAAATGATGCAACTTTCAAAAAAATCTATCAACAACAATAAGAAAAGAAAATTGTTGCCAAAATCACATTTTTAAAGAGGTGAGAAGTGTACGCGGAAGCTTCATTTAAAAAAATTTTAAAAATACAAAATATTATCATTTTCCGAAAAATATTTCTTTTTGTAAAAGCAGTCGCAAGGATGAAAGTTTAATGCGTCCAAAAATCAAAGAAAAATAAACTGTACATTTTTAAAAATAAACTTTTTAGAAAAAAGTCCCGTTGAAAAGGTGTTAAGTCCACTTTGTTAAATAAATTCGTATTTAATCGCTTTATTAAAACACTAAATTTATTTTAAGTTCGTAAAATAGCTAAGTTCCTACGTTTCATGACGATGTGAAAATCTCGCTTTTCTATAGCCCATTATGTCTCAAAATGACGCGATTTCATCACAAAACATTAAAAAAAAAATAATAATAATAATTCGAATTTCGAAAAAATGGCTTAGACCTAGGTTTGCGTCCACGATAATCGGACTTTCGCAGCACTTTTCGTACAGTTTCAGGAGAAATTTCCTTGTTGCTAGTTAAAAAAATGTCTTTTGCAATGCTTGCAGCAGAAAGTTTAGTATTTTGTTTAATTCGTAAAAGAATTTTTTTTCCTTCTCTCTGCGTTAGCTTCTTCTGTCTCCCACATCTTGGTTTTACAGTAAGACTACCAGTGTCAAGATAGTTTTGAATAACTCTTTGTACACAAGAAAATGGTTTTCCAATGGTTTTACCAATATAACAAAGAGTTTTACCTTCATCTCTCAATTTGATAATTAGTTGTCTCGTAACTAAAAGAATTTCTTTATTGGTTGTCATTTTCGTCAAAGAAAATAGAAATAGCAACTTCCAATCAACATGAAATTTGCTTCGGAAGTCAATGACCTTGAAAGTGTAACCTTCTTTGCATTCTCAAATTTGAAGTTTAAAAGTTAGATAAGAAATCCCCCGCCTCCTTCGCGTTGTACGCAAACTTTATTGGCTTTGATTTCTGGCCACTTATCTTTTAAAAATTAGTGTGCATAAATTATTAGGTATGAAAATATTACAGTTAAATAATTTCAAAGTCCCTTATTGAAACTAAATATTTAAAAAGTAAAACTTTAAGAAACTACCCTTTTCGCACCTTAAAATTTGGATTTGATATTACTTTTCTTGATGTACGCAGACTTTATTAACTCTGTATGTACCAAATTTCGTAGCCGTGGGTCTATTAGCTCACGCGCAGCGCGAACGAAAGACACACACACACACAGACTCTTTCTTTTATTATATGTAGAAAGTGTTAGCTAAGTTCTTACTGAATCTTCGTAACTTTAGTTGGCTAATTATTATTTATAAAATTTGTTGCTGTGCGATCTGTGTTTATGCAGAAGTTCAAATCGCATTTTAAAAAACAAACCCAATTCTCCCTTAGGTAATCATTACAATGCAAAGAAACGCTTCGTGGGCATTTGACAAGTGTCTCATTTTCACCTGTAGACCTGCATTTATGGCACGAAAAGGCACTATTCTAAAAGGCAAACGCCAGATTACTTATGATAGAATATAAGTTTTTAATCTTTTCAATTAAAGTTAGATTAATTTTAATAGAGACCTCACATCTTTTTTGATAAAACCATTTACATTTTTTTTCCTCAAACGGCGGACACTTTACTAAACTGAGAAAGCAGGAACGGAAAAACCAAACCATTCTCTCATTTAAGCATGTTATTACCAAAAGCGTTGTCCAGGGTGTACCAGCGGGGCGAATTATATCCGCATGAAAGGAACAGCTCTGTACTAATTTTGAGGGTCAGCACTTAGGATGGATACAAAGGTCTTCTAAACCTCTTTTCATACGACCAAATTCTAAAGGAAACTTTGATAGCATTTCAACTGCCCTGTACCAAAAAAGACACTATATTTTCAAACGTCTGTGTTTTCCCCTCAACTTGAACCTTCGATGAAGACTAATACTATGGCTATCAGCTCCCCTATCACTATACGAAAAGGGTGGTTTAAATCGTTTATATTAATTATTCTATAATAAATTTTATTCTTTTTAAACTGCTAAAATAAGTTATTTTATTTTGCTAATAATTAGCCCAAAGAGACGTTAACCCAGAGGGGCTATTAGTCTCGAGACTACATTTTGTATCGAATATCGATAAACGGGTGTATAGCTTTTCAAATTGTTTCCACCAAATATTATTGTCCTGTATTATATTTAAAGAAATTAAATAACGATGAGTCTGCATGAATGTATGTGTGTTTCTCACATTAGGAAAAGGCAATGATACTTAGAGTCATCAAATTTTGAATAACGTAGTTCTCCACCCGAATATGAGCGTCTGGTTCCTGCATTTCGAATTGGTTTGATTATCTATTTCATCTTTTGTATACTTTATAACGAATTTTTGATTCAGAAACTTAACGATTTCAAAGCGAGCAGTGGCAACACACTGTACGGTGTAAAATATTTTTTATTACCAGCTCGCGAGACATAAGAGAAACATAAGAGAAATGTATATCGAAAATTCTAAAGATATGCAGTCTTTAAATATTTTCAGCCTAAATGCTTTCGAAACATATATGTATATGTAAATGAAAAAAAAAAAAAAATATGCTTCTTTGAGCCTTTCAGATTTTTCTTTTTTTTTTTTTTAATTTAATGCAATTACTCATTTTGAATCTGAATAATAAGACATTATAATCAATGCACTTTCTTACGCGTTTAAAAAGGTAACAATATAGTGGGAAAACCAATACATTCATCATTCTTGTATGTTCGAGAAAGTTCAAGCGTGATAAACTTGACAGTGCCGTAAGGACGTCAAACGAAATTTAACTAAATTTCGATATCATTAGAAAATCAAGGAAATAACTGTGACTGCATCCGTTTCTTCTTCTTTTTCTTTATTTCCATGGGAGTTTCATCGTCACTTGAGGCAAAACGACGTTTTCAGTAACCGCTATTTTAGAGTGACGAAGCTTATTGGTAATAAGCCTATAATCTTTGACATGGGAGGTCTGAACTGTGTGCCTTCTGCTGATAGAAATCTTCCGGTAATATTTTGTAAAATATTTTTTGAAAAAGCATTTCTTTTAGAAAGTAAATGCTTTTAGAATTAGTTATTCTTAGAAGTAAGAATAATAGATGTGATGACGTGAAATTGTAATTTAGAATTAATTTAAACCAAACAAACCTTTTTTTTCTCTTGCAGTAAATTAAGTGTTAAAGAATTCTGTACTGAGAACATTTAAAATGCATTGGATCCATAAAATTTTTAAACATGTATTTAATGAAAATATCACTGTTACGTAATAAGTTCACGATTGCAATATTCAGTCCTTGATTTTTAGCATACTTTCCTGTATTAATTTCATGTTTTAAAATTTTCAAAATAAAACTTAAATTTTGGAATACGAAATCCTAAGCGTGATGGTTTGCGAAAAATGATATTGTTATTCTTAAGTTTTCAGCTACATAAGAGAAATGTATTTATGTAAAGTACTTAAAAATGAGAAACTGAATTGTATGGTCTCAAGGTCCACCAACGCCTAGCGAATAAGATTGCTGAATGTTGGTATTTCACTCAAGCTCAAAATCCGGCACGAGCTGATGGCACGAGTTTTCTGATTTTTTCTATGTCTGACGGAAATACTAGCCAATCTCCTTCAGAAAGTTTTCCATGTAAGCATTTCTAGCTTACATACTTAGAAGGTGCTTTGCCTTAATCAATTAAGCTAATCTTTCGTATACAATTTGGGTTGGCATTTTATTTTAGTTAGAATAGGGCTAAAATTTTTTATTTTTATCATTAATTTATTAAATTTTATATACAACATCGCATGCTTCCTTGTAACTATCGTATTTCATATTTCGAACAGAGTTTGATTTTTGGCGAGCATTCTGATGTATTGGGCATTTCGGTGATTTTTCTGCATGCGAATGAATATGAATGTGTTTCCTAGGAAAGTCTTACAGGAAGACATGTCCCTCGGCAGATAGCCATCGCTTGCTTCCCTAATTTAACTATCGTAAATGCAATGAAACAAATGGGTTCTACTGTAGAAAAATGCTCAATACTGAAGCTGTTACCGGTTTTCTGGGTAACTCGAAATGGGTTTTATTTCGCCAACGTTATAGCAGCCTTTTTCTTTTTTGTTACGTGTCAATGTTTTCCTTTAGTTTAATCTGATTGCAACTTCTTAGTTTAGTGATTGAGGGCTACCAATAACTACAAATCAACTGACAGTATTTTGAATTTTGACTATACTTTGAATTATTGGAATTTTAATTGCAGTTAAATGACCTTTGCTTTTAGTTAACTGGTTGGTACTAATTAATCACTGTCCCTTCACGTCTACAAAGAAGTATTTTCAGTAAGATAAATACTTGTTGTTTTCATGATTTAGAGTGAAAGAGTAAGAAAGCTATAACTGGTTGGTGTAATGATGAAGGTATAGTTAGTTCTCATTATGAATGTTAAGTTTGTACGAAAGGTTTACATCCGGGGCTTAATTTCTGAAATTAGAAGTGCCGGAGCCCATGAAGACTGAGAGGAAGGAAAGGAAAATTTAAAGTAAAATAGCTAAAAATTAAAATAATAAATTTAAATTAGGTACTTTTCCATTTTGTCGGCGCAGGCGATGAAGTTGCCAAAAATGGTACAACCGATTCGAAACGGAATATCCTCGCTGGTAACCTTTTACGACACATTTTCAAAACAAGTCGCAGCCATTTCTTATCAGATTTATTGTTTCTTTCAATACCACCATACAGTTACATAGAATTTTTACCAGATAGTTCAATTTTATGCCCTAAGACCATTCGCGGTAATTAAATCAACTAGGATGCAATCACACCGCTCACCCGAAGGCGAAAACACAGCAAAGGCAAAGTCCAGGGTTAAATTCATCATTTCTAATGAGAATGCGCTAGTGAAGTGAAGCACTGCGGTTTTACATAATTTCTGAGTAAGCTATTCGTACGAACTGAAATAATTCTTGCACTTAAATCATAATTTGGAATGCCAGTTTTAACTTGAAATCAATGTAAATAGTTTACTGAGAAAATTAGATTTTTGTAGCGTAGTTTACGTGAGATCACTTGGGGTCACGTGATATAAAACCGCGAATCAGGATGTTGTACCTAGAAAGCACAATAAATTCTTAAATTTGTCTTTTTACAAAATTTTAAACGGTATTAAAATGTTTATGCCTTCAAAATAAAAATTTTATAGAACTACCATTAGTTAACATTTTTTATATGTATACTGTGTGTTGTCGCCAATAAAGTCTGCTTGGCGAGACTTGCGCCGGCGAAACAGAAAAGTACCTTAAATTAATATTAATATTGATTTACTTAATTAAATTTAATTAATTTGAATTAAGAAAAGTTTAAAGAGAAATCGGTATTATTCCGTTTTGAGGGCCGTAAAAAAATTGTAGCGAAAATGTATGCGCGAAAGCGCCAAATCTAGCAAATGCGCCCATTTAACAGCGTGCCAAATCTAGCTTACGCGCTGATTTCAGATTGCCCAAGTTTATATAGTAGTTCTATATTTCTTAAGACTCCATTGAAATACTAGCTTAATTTTTAAATCCTTTTTTGATATCCTATGTATTTAACAATTTCGGAATTGCCCATGACGAAAAATCTGCGATAGAATTTTGGGTAAAGTGCAGAATCACCCACTGCTTGACGCGTTTTTAAGAATTGCACATACTCGATATCCTACACATCGACCTATTTTCACTTTAAAAAATCCAAGAATTGCACAAAAATGGCACTATGCACACCCTTGACTTTATCTATGTACATATCGACCTATTTTCACCTAAAAGGTAAAAGAAAATTGACAAAAATCCAACTGTTTTTACCCTTGTAAAAAAGCAAACAAATAAGTGGGCGATTCTGCACTTTACCGAGAATGTTTTCAAAGAAAAGGCATTATTCATTATAGAAAATTATGTTTGAACAACCAACGAGATGGCATTATGCTTTAGCGATAACTCGGTACCGAAGTAGCGCTGCAGGCATCCATTCAGTTATGTTTAGCAATTTTTATATACTAAATTAAAATAATGATTTGCATAGCTATATACTCTTATGCTTCCATTCAGTCATGTTTAGCATTTTATATATAAATTATAATAATAAAAAAGTATTTTATGAAATTAACCTTTAATCTAAAATTAAAACATCAATCTTGGATAGTTATTTACTATTATACTTCCTTTTTTGCGTTAGGGTTGCCTCATTTTTGGCAGCACTGGCATCAACAATAGTTTGGCGATTTTTTACGGCCCTCAAAACCGAATAGTACGGAGAAATCTAATTTATCTTATTTAGGGCACCGGCTGGAATTACAGCTCCACTTGGATGCTAAGAAGCAGCTCAGCTGATTTCCGTCAGAGTTTAAGCCCTGATTACACGTATAATGTACTATTCTAAGAGATGACAGGTACCGCTATTTTTTTACAGCGCACCAAGGAAAAAAGATAAAACGATTAAAGCTTCACTATGGAGAAAAATAAGAATTCTAGAAACAGTATAAAGATGTGGAAAGAAATTTAACTGAAAAGTGTAGCTTTGAAAATAATTTTAGCCGTCAAGCAGAAATTTTCCCTTATGAAGTTTTCCTGTATACAACGTGAGCATAAACATAAGATTTCTCTGTACAAGTGCCAGCAGTGCCCCCCCCCTGTTTGGTTACATCATTCAGAAAGTCTACTGGAGCTCACTGGCGTGGAACGTGCACGACCAGGGTGTCACTTTTAGTTGTTTGAGGAACACAAAATTTGCCCTCTATCATAAATTCATTGCATATCCTGGATAAAAGCCCCCCTATCATATTGGAGGGGGCTTTTCTTTCCTTAACCCTTTCGTGGGCCGTGGGAAGATTACTTCCCACCTGTATGTTCCTGGGAAATACACCTGTGGGAAGCGCAAAACCCACTATAATATATTGACTTTGCTATTATAACGTTGGGAACTCTAATTCCTACTTCAGTATTGTGCTGCCATAGTGTTCAATCGATTGAAAACAGAATTACCACATTTGTTTTGAAAGTTCGAACGCGTTGTGTGAGATCTGTTCCACTGAGACACCTGTTTTGATTTGACATTTGCATTGCTATAAGATTCTGCGACAAATGTAAGTAAAACGCTGTTTTTATTATAATAACGTTTCCTTCTTTTGTATATTTCTGCAGTAACTATCTAATATTGAATAATAAATAATGGGTGAAAAGTGAAAATACTGTTGCATCATGTATAAAAGCCACGTGCAAAAGGTATGTTGGAAAAATTAGAATATTTTTGAAAATACATTTGAAAATATTATTCAATTCTACCGAGAAGGAAAAAGGATTATTTTGGCATGATTTTTACCGAGGAAATTTTACAGAATATTGTTGACGAAATAAACTCATATGCAAAGAAGCCTAAGAGAAGGAAGAGATTGGGTCATACCACAAAAGACATTATCCTGAACTGGAAAGAAATCGCATCAGAAGAATTGAAAGCGTGGGTAGGTATGCATATACTCATGGGTATATACATCAATTGCCTGAACTGAAAAACTACTGGAGCACAGGACCCTATTCTCAATGGTTCAACCAGTAGCAAGAATAATAATCGCAAAGAGGTTATTCAAAAAATAACTGAGACTTTGCATGTAAACGATAACAGCACAAATCCATGTGGACAATTTGGGCGTGATAAACTCCATAAAAGTCAGCCATCCTCTCACAGCTCAATTGATTCCATACCTAAAGTCTACGAACTATCGTCAACATTATGAATAGATGAATGCATGATAGCTTTCAAAGGGAGAACTTCATTGAAGCAGTATATGCCAATGAAGCCTATAAAAAGAGGTTACAAGGTGTGGTGTTTAGCATACTCTAAAATTGGATATATTCAAAAATTTGAAATTTATTGTGGAAAAGAAACTTCTGATAATAAGGATAAAATATTGATCTTAGGGGAAACTGTAATAACTAAACTAACGGAAGATGTGAAACAGACCGATTATCTTATAGCCTATGATAACTATTTGACATCTTTTAGGCTTGCAAAAAGTCTACTAGTCTGTTTTCTGTGGGGATTTTGAGGCCGCAAAGGAAGGATCTTCCGTCAATACTGAAAGCTAATAACAAACTACAAAGAGGGGAATCAGTGTTCCTAACTAAGGAAGGAGTTGCTGCAATAAAGTGGATGGACAAAAAGGCTGTTACATTGTTGACTACTGCACATAATTCAGCGATTATTACATCCGTAAATCGTACAAAAAAGGATGATACTAAAACAGAAAGTACCTTGCCCTAAAGCTGTTGCCGTATATAACGAATATCATGGGAGGGGTTGATTGCTTCGATCAAAGAAAAGAAAGGTACCAAATAGGGGAAGAAGATCTGTAGAATGGTGGCATCGTATTTTTTTTTATTTTCTTATTGATCTTTGGCATTCATAAATAGTTTTATACTGTGGCAAGGAAACAAGAGAAACAGAAGTTTAGACCAGCTAACATTCCGTATAGCATTAACTCGTATCAACTAATAGACGGATATTTCCTTGAAAAAAGAAAGGCCGTCCTGCTAGCTTCCAAGCAAAACGGTGTGCAGTTCCGTATGATGTACGCTTAGTCAGTGTGGGAAATCCTATGCCAAAGATGGTTTCCAACTATAGACGATGTAAGAAATGTAGCACACAAAGGCCCAAGAAAAGAGGTACCCTCTATATGTGTGCAGTATCTGAAGTACCCTTGTGCATTGCAACATGTTTCTCATCTTTTCACGGCAAATAATCGCCTTTAAATTGAATTTTCTCTATGACCATAAAAGGTCCTGTGGGAAGTATACGTCCCACCCCTAGAATTTAAATATAAACAAAAAATTTGGCAAAATAAAATATATTTCCTTAAATGCTATTGTTTAATTGATAATAAAACATAAAAAAAAGGGAGAAATTCAAAAGAGAAATAAATGGCCCACGAAAGGGTTAAAGGACTTAACCTCTGTGCAAGGGGGCTCGAGTGCGAGGTAAAGACAGGCTTGCATTCAGAAGTTAGAATTAATTTTTAATGCATGTTTACCATTAAAACAAAATTTATGCGCTAAAATTGTGATTCACTTGCATAAAAGAAATGCTGGAGACCTTTTATTTAAGGCTCTGGTGCGCTTCGGCTGAAATTATAATTTATCTTAAACTGAGAAGTACCGGAACCGGCAATTTAAGTTCTGTATACATCTAGTCGAACTTAAGGATCAATCAGATGTCTATGACAGAATTTCTAGCGAAACTGGCTCTCATATCAACACCATTGAGAGCATGTGTGTACCTACATTAAGCGTGAGTTCTTCGGCAGTAGTCAGATGACATTTTGTATTCCTGCTTTGCGGAGTTTCTGTGGTGTCGCCAATACCGTAATTAGGAAGAGGAGGATCAATTCTGGGAATACGTGATTTGCATTATGTGTGTGTAACAATCATCCGACGCTGGCGATGAAATGTAGCCAAGAAAAGAGAACATGAGTATTTTTAGTCCAAACGGGCGTTAGATCCAAAGGGCCGTTAGTCTCAAAACGACATTTTGATTCGTTTCATTTTCTGCGTTGGTTCACTTTTCAAACTGTTGCCACCAAATATTACCGCCGTGTATTAAATTTAAAGAAACTAAATAATGAAGAATCTGCATTAATGTTTCTAGCATTGTGAAAAGACAACGGCACCTAGAGCCATCAAATTTTGAACAGTCCTTTATCCCAACATGGGCACTTGGAAGGCCGTATTTTGAATTTAATTTGTTTTATTATCTGTCATATTTTGTAACTCTTTAACGAATTTTTGATTAACATATTCAATGATTTCGAAGCGAGCAATGGCAACACTACGAAAAAAACATTATCTCCAGCCAGCGATACTTCTATCGGAAATTCTAAAGGTATGCTGTTTTGAAATAATTTGATATTGCTGTTGAATTGAATTCTATGTAGTTCAAGTGCGAAGAGCTTGATATTTAATAAATAAAGCTAACGCGCAGAAATTTTAAAAGAAACGCTCTTTTGGGCGTAATATAAAATGTAAAGCATTCAGACTTTTTTTTGTAACGTATGTTTTCGACGCAGTTTTGGGTGACGGCTACCTTGGAAACATTGCTTTTTGGTGCCATTCTTGACGTCATAAAATTCGCAAAAATTATGAGATTTCTGTTTTACCAAACTGAAGCAGTATACTGATATGGAGAAGAAATCCATTTCATATTTGTAATAGATTTCTGTAATCTCGTTTTGAAAATAAACTACTGAAACTAAACTGTTTCGCCTTCTTACGATTCTTTGTTTCCAAACACATAGTGTTTTTACGATTTTTTTTAAAATCTTGCAAAACAAAACTAACGTGTATTTTTAAATGTCGGTCGTTCTTACAAGTGATCCAAACCCAATGTTTTATCATGTATTTATTGTTTTTAGAGGTTCCGAGTCTATCATCTTCCGAAATAAATGATATTTTACAAAAACCTTTTTTTTACAAGAGCTTTTGCGAAATCGTCTGTTTTTAAAATGAAACTGAAAGAACTAATGTTTCAGATTATTTTTTCATCACGAGATACAAAAACCATTTACATTAGTTTATTTTTTCAGGAACATTCAAGATTAACTTCCAGTTCTTCTGATGTTGCATCCTTCTGGAAAAAGTGCCGCAGTCCAGAGAACAGGAAAAAATTTCTTGTATTCGCTAGTATCTTCAAAACAAATTGTATTACCATTCTAGCAATCTTTATTTATTATGGACGAAATATGCAGCATTTCTACTTGGTAATAACTCTGTTAATGGCATTCGTAGTAATTGCTTTAATCTTTTCAATTCCTGTATGGAAGGAAATATGTTGCAAAGGTAGGCATGCTTATAAAGCATACGACGATATTTGGATCAGAAGTGAATCTATTGCAGAAATGCAGCTACAAGATTTGGACCAATCTAGTGAGGAGCTTCATGATTACCAAGAAAGTCTACAAAGTAAGTCTTGACAGCTAGTTATTGTAGAATCGAAGAGTTCTCTGCGTAGTGAAGAGGGTATTTACGTACCCTATTGCTCCATTCTAAATTCGTCGCTTGATGTTAATTTTTAATCTTTACTAATTACCTGTTATTGCTTAAGCTGTTAAAATATTTGGAGTAATCTTTCCTGGGAGAAAAACTTCAATGTAGATGCAAATTTAGTGAATTTAGACGGAAATTGATCGTAACAAATTATTCGTTACAATTCGTGTTCGTGTTCACAGTGGCCGAAGAGTAAGACCACTAACTGGTAGTTTGACTTAATCAAATGAGAGTTTCAGGGGATTTTTTCTTATATAACTGAAATAAAAACCAATTTCCTGTAGAAATTACTCCACAAAAGCACCTTTCATTTGCTTGTATTTTGCAACAAATTAGAATTATGAACAGATAAATTGAATCTTCGCGTTACGGCAGAATTCATGAAAGCTTCAAACTTGAGGTAAAATCAGTAATAATTCTCAGCTCCCTTAAAAATGCCTTAGCCTAAATAATCTCGAAAATGATTTGCATTTAAAATCTTCGCAAAAGTTTAATCACAGCTTTTAGATTTTTTCCTATAACATTCTTGCTTTTCATGCATTACGAGGGTCACAAGAGTCGGAGTGGAAAAGATCGCCGAACACTAGTAGTTTGATACGTGTTCTAAAGCTCTGCCGACATGTTGGTAATGTGGGCTTTTTCTGACTTCTGACGTGAGTATGACCCTATTTTCTCCCAGCAGTTTCTCTGTGAAACATTCTTTCCCTTAGGCATTGTAGCCTTATGCTTTTATTTTTATAAATTTTATGAATTCAACGGATTGTTAGCATGGGAGATTTCATGGCTTAGAGCGAAAACGTTATGACCAGCCCTACATTTTGCGATGAACGCGCCTGGATGACGTGGAAGGCACGTGATCAGGTGGAAGTGGTATTTAACTGCTGCTGGAGAGTCTGAAGAATCATTCTTTCACTTGCTTCTGTATGTGATGGGAAAGGCTGCGGATCTAAGCGACTTTGATAGAGGGCAGATTGTAATGGCTCGAAGGCTCGGAATAAGTATTTCCGAAACTGCACGACTCGTGGGTTGTTCGCGATCTACAGTTGTTAGTACGTATGAAAAGTGGATGAATGACGGTGAAACCAGCAGTAGACGACACGGTGTTGGACGTCCACACGTTACCAAAGAAAAACGTCGTCGTAGACTATCTCGCTCGCATGGTGAAGCAAAACCGAAGCCAGACAGTGGCTCAGCTGACAGCCGAATACAATGCAGGGCCAAGTAGAAAAGTATTGGAGCACACTGTTTTCAGCGGACACTGTTGGATATGGGGCTACGCAGCAAACGTCCCACTCGTGTGCCTTTGCTGAACAAGCGTCATCGCCAACTGCGCCTGCGCTGGGCCCTGGAACATCTCGAATGGTCCATGGATCAGTGGGAGAGAGTTGCCTGGTCAGATGAATCACGGTTTGTCATTCATCACGCCGATGGCCGTGTCAGGGTACGCCGTCTTCCAGGCGAATAGTTGCTCCCTCAATGCAGAGTAGGTCATACACAGGCCGGTGGTGACGGTATTATGCTCTGGGGGACGTTCTCTTGGGCGTCTCTGGGACCCGTAATTGTGGTAGAGCAGACCATGAATGCTACAGGGTATCTAAACATCATTGCGGAATAGTTGAACCCTTACATGGCCTCTGTTTTTCCAGCTAGAAATGGAATATTCCAACAGGACAACGCCCCGTGTCACAAGGCTACAATTGTGTTGGAGTGGTTCCAGGAACATGATGCTGATTTCCAGTCAATGTCCTGGCCGCCTAACTCACCGGATCTCAATCCGATAGAACACATTTGGGATGTCATGGGACGGCAGCTCAGAGGGTCAAAGACCACCAATTTGCAATATCTCGGATTTGCGTGACCATTGCTACAACATCTGGTACAATCTGTCTCCAGCCATGTATCAAGGACTTGTGGCATCCATGCCAAGGCGAGTTGAAGGATTTTTGCGCGCCAAAGGTGGCCCAAAGGTGGTTGTTATTGCCAGATGGTCATAATGTTTTGGCTCTTGAGTGTATGTGACGTGAATTTCAGCTAGCTAGATTATCTTTCAAAGTGCTTCACGAAGGCATTCCTATTCTTAAACAAGCCTTAAACGTCTCATGATTTCAGCATTTCTGGTGTTAAAAATTCACTTATAGTTGTTTAAAGTACTTATCCTCCGATGGTTCATTCAGATTTGAATTCAAACTTAATTGGTATAATTCACTTTCATCGTCTCAAAGATACCTTCAGAAGAGGCAGCTAATTTTCTAGTTTCTTAGAAATGTGGGTTACATTAACACGTTCACGTCGGGGCCAAATTGTTCTTCGCCGTGACACGGCGCTCGAATTTTCGCCACGTTTCATCTGCCGGCGCGCGATTATTACCTGTTCAAACCTGTATACGAGTTGTACATTTACGTTTGCTAATAGTTATTAATTATAATTGTCATTAAAAAAGTTTTTATAATAAGCGTTAATTTTTTATTTTAATTTTCAGCGTCTAATAAAACAATAGAATGCGGAGCCACCGGTGGCCCGCGCCTGCGTGAACGTGTTAAATTCCATTCCGCCTGGACCTTCTAAAGTCGCTGAAGGCTGGTAGTACGGTCCGATGTTCGAATAATTGCGAATAGCCTGGATGCATTGGCGTTTTCGTAGCTTTCCCCATCTGTAATATGTATACAAGCTTGTTCCTTTAGAAAATCTTTCAAGAAGGCATTCCTTCCCTTAGACAGGTAGCCCTCAAGTGCTTTACCACGATGAAGCAAACCAAACCCCCTGAACATTTTTTATACACACGATGTTTAGATAAAAGAATTCTGGCCTCGTTAAAAGAAGCAAATCTGTAAAAACGATATTTAAATTTTTCTAGCCGATGGGGAAAGGGCTTTAAATATAAAGCACATAGATCCATGTGTATTAGAATACGTGTAATGTAATACATACATGCCTGGATTAGCAATTGTCACATGTATATTGCATGCATACTCAAAAACGCTCCCATAACAGCAGCTTTATCAAATGTTGAAGCCAGAAGTGCGCTGAATCAGAACTCAAAGTGCGCAAATCAATAAGCTATAAAATATATTCTCAAGGAAATTGGCAAGTTTCATGAACGTCGGGAGATTCAGTGGGATTGGATGATTTGGCTTATTCTAAGTAAAATAGCAAATGTTGTAATTTAAAATTTGTGAAATTTAAATGGAAAACACAGTGTCATTTTAAAGAAATATTGAATTGTATTCGGAAATACACTAAAAATTTGTTCCTTTAAATTAGCAACATGTCGAAAATTGCAAGTTTACAACAACTAATCTGAAAAGAATGCATGTCTTAGCTTGATGCCTGCATTTAGATTAATCGACAATAAAAGAATTTCGTACAGAATTCAAAATGTAATTTACAAAAGCTTGGGGTATAAATTGCGAATTTCTTCAAAGACAGCTTAATTTGTCAGACCTAAAATGTTCATTATCTTAACGTGTAAACCTCTGTGGCAGCATACTACTTCGCAGATGCGACTTTAGAAAATGCAGGCGGGATGGAATTTAGCCTTTTACGCGATGGATCTGTTTCAATTTCTTTTCTGAGCCCATTAGTGGCGGCGTGAGAAGACTGTGGTACGCTCATAATTTGACACGGCTTCAAATATCTGCGAATGGGTTGGCTGGATGGTCGCTTTCGTAGTTTTCTACAAATGTAGCGTGGTTTAAATTTCGGTTTACTTGATTATGGCAAAGCGCACTAGGGTTATCTGCCTGAGGGGAGGGATGCCTGCGGGGAAGCCTTTAGTCTCTTATACACATTACCCATGGAGAAAGTCACGAGAACTCGCATGCAGCCAGCCTGTTCCCCTGGATTCGATATCTGATCGGAATTACCAGTTTTATTTTATATGGTATAATATGGTGAACTTCGTATGTAACGCGAATGCAAATCAGTTTTCCGTAGGCAGCGCGAATTCACTAACCGTCAAGCTCAATACTGGCGAGTCGATCCTGTCTGCGAACAGGTCTGGCTGCATTGGCATTTTTGTGGTTTTCCCCATGTGAAACGTCGAATATGACTCGGTTTCCCTTAGGGATCCACAATGACCTTCCTTCCCTTAGGTAGACGGTGTGCTTTAGGTATAGTGATGGAACCCAATGAAGGCATAATTTGCATTTTCTTAAAAAAGGGGAAAATTTTGAAAACCATTTTTATCAAAACATGTGTTTATATAATCTTTGAAATATTAAAAAGATAACCAAATATTAAAATATAACTTTTCAAACAATTAAAATAGAACTTTTCAACTAATCAAAATGAAGGACAAAGTTGAAATCGGTGAGGAAAATATCAATAAAATTTAGTCAATATTTTGTGGTGGATGCTCTGTTTTGATAACAGCCTTGAGACTATCTGGCATAGAATTCCCCAAATTTTTCACTGCTTAAAAAGAAATTTTCCCCATTTCTATGGAAAAGCCTTTTCAAATGGTCCACATTCGTATTCCGTTATTTCCATACACTATTCATAAGTTATTCAATTGGATTTAAGTCAAGGGTGTGAGCTCGATAGTTACGAGTATGGGGATGTATGATGTAGCCCACATAGTCGGACTGTATGTGTTGCATGCTTGGGATCTTTGTCTATTGGGAGGAGAAGTTGCTGCATAAATGAAGTTTACCGAAGTTTTGTTAAACATTACGTTTCGAATATTCAGACATGTTGATTCACTGAATCATCAATGAACTGACGATTCTCGCCATCTGAACCTGACATGCAGCTCCATACCATCACATTTTTGTCCCCTTATTTTATGGTTGCTTGAACATGTTATCTTGCTCGATTTTAATGCTCTCCAAACTGAATACCTAATATTACGAATTAATGAGAATTTACTTCAATCGGAAAACATCATATTCAACCTAAATGCACTCTTTATTAAAATGCTGCCTTGTAAAAGACCTTTTCTTTCAATTAGTTTTGCTGATGATATGGTTTTTCTTCTGGCTATTCCAGTTTTTATAATCAGCCCGGTGAAAAGTTTTGGGGTGAATTATTTTGTTCAAGTCATCCTTGAGCATTCTTATGACAGCACTTGAGATTTTTGGATTAATTTAACAATATTGACAACTTTTCTCTTGTCTAAAAGCCAGCTCTTTTTGGGGAGGGGACCACTTGGTTCATTTATCACACTACTAGACTATTTTAAATTTTTTAACATAGGTTTTAATGTGTATCGACTCCTGTTCGCTTCTTCATTTCTTTGAAGTGATTTATTCTGATCATGTTAAACGGATCATTATTTTTCTCTCTTCAGTCGTAGTTTTCACACCCTTACTAGCCATTTCAAAATTTGGTACTGTTCTGCTATCGGGACTGGAATAAAAAATGTATGTTAAACTGCGTGTATAACTTTGAGCATATATGCGTGTGTGTATATACTATATATAATATATATATATATATATATATTATATACGTACATGGCCATATCAGCACATACATCCATACATTTCTGAATTCATTTGCACTTGCTCCGATTTCAACATATGGAATGACAAAATATAATTTAATTTGTCCAAAACTCTGCATTGAACTTTCACTTTTGTCTTTCATTTTGCTTGGTTTAAAAGTTTAATTTATATTTGTAAGTTTATTAGTTTAAATTTAAATTTTTGTATTTATCTGTGTAACTTTCTTCAGTTTATATAAATGTGTTGATAAAAATATATAAATTGTAAAAATAAATTTTTCTCCACTTCTTGAGAAAATGAAAATGCGACTTCACTTATGCCCATCACTTAATTTCTCCACGAAAACTTTCTTTCTCTTAGGCAGATAGAATCGGTATCCTTTGTGATAATTTAGTAAATTTTTTCCTAAGATTTTCAAGGTTCGTATATTTGATCAAAGGAGGTCTTGCAATGTGAAAAAATATGTTCAGTCTACACAGTCGAACATCACGAACAATATTTCAGATTTCTTAAACATAAAATAGATAATTGTAACATAAGTATTTAAACATATTAAGTATTTTGTGTTAACAATTATTATGATTTAAACCTTCGCTATAACTTTCCCGTAATCCTCACCAGCATACAAATTAGGTGGTAGCGTGATTGAGGATTTTGAATGTTTTAATGTTGCTTTTAGCAGCGTCGCCTGCAGTTTGTCATATCACCCACCCAGTTCTACCAATGAATATCCCGGCTTTAGCTATTTTTGCTAGCCGACGTTAAAATGCATCGTTAAAATATTGAGCCAGCTTAAGTACACCAATTTCTGTAGTCTCCCACTACTCTAATTTTAATTTGAAAGTTCAATTTATTTTAAATGTCCGCAAGTGGTAGATTATTCGTATGCACAAGAGGCAGAGTATATTTGTATGCACAAGAAAAGTTGAGCTTTCAGTTCAGTTAAGGAGTTAATAAAAAGGTTATTTGTACCTTCGTAGGGCTTATTTTTAGAACTTGCCCGTTCATCTACTAGGATCAATAAGACTTTGATTTAATTTCTGCACAATGTAGAGCACTATAAATATAGTATTTTAACCATAAGACTAAATGTCTTCATCGAAATTTGTGCTCAAAATACGATGGAGTAAAGTAAATGTAAAGGAAATAATTCTACCGCGTCAGCATATTTAGGACCTTAAGTTTAAAGATTAAACTGGAGCTCCCGAGCTCAAAATTTAGTTCTGCGATTTCAAAATATTCAGTAACCTTCTGGCTTCTAATTAGCGCCATTATCGCATAAGCTGATTAGCGACAGTCTATAGGGTAGAGTAGATTAGTCTTGTCGGTTTTTGACAACGATGCATTATGTATTGTCTGCAGTGTCCTTTGTAAGCTATTGCACAACCTGACTGGTTTTTTTTCCTAGCTTTTCATCACGTTAAAGACAAGACAAAGGCTTTCTTAGCGATGCACAAAAGACAGCAAAAACAATGTAAATTGAAAGGTTGGTTTTGGTTTTATGAGATTACGGCAAAGCCTCGAGGGTTATCTGCCGAAGAGGAGGGATGCCTTCGTGGAGGAATTTTTAAGAGAAACTCTGGCTCGTATACATACACACGGAAAACCACGAAAACGCCCATGCAGCCAGCCCATTCGCGGGATTCGAACCTCGTATCAAACTACCAGTGTTCAGCGACATTTATCGCTGGTGGGCGCGCAAATTGAAAGGAAAGTCTAAATTACTTAATATATTAAAATGACTTACTTATGGCAGCTTAAATCTCTATTTTTAGATGCATCAGTTCTTTCGGAGCTCCAGTATTCGAAAAACAGATCTTGTATCACTTTAAATAAATTAATAAATGAGTAAAAAATTCGGAATTATTGTCGACGCCCCTAGCGTCCCATTGTAACGAGGGGGGTCAATAAAGTACCCCCTGCTTTGCTATCAACAAACTTTCTGGAGGATTTTCAGCTCGCAAGTATTTTTATGTGCCCCCATGCTGCACGGACATTATAGATTCAGAAACATTCACACCTTCTCCGGGGTCGATACTACGCGCCCACCGGTACGGCAGCCAGCGTCGCTAGCCACTATACTAATCAAGACTGCCTTATTTATACATACTTGCCAAAAAAAAAAAAAAAAAAAAAAAAAACTCAATGTTTCAGATTTTACATTACGTCCAAAGGGGTATTTTTTAACGTTTTGTGTGGTTACCTTTATTTATTAAATATCGTGTTCTTCGCACTTAAACCATAAAATTAAGTTCAATAGCAGTGTCGCAAAATAATTTTAAAATGAACATATCTTTAGAATTTCCGATACACAGTTCCGCGCGCTGGAAATAAAAAGGTTCCCCCCCCCCGCTGCCATTGCTCGCTTTGAAATCCTCGAGTTTGTTAATCAAAAATTCGTTACAATTTTACAAAATATGAAATGATCAAAAAACAATTCCAAATTTCAAGTCGGTCTTCCACATGCCCATTATAGAGGATTACGGCATTCAAAAATTCGATGCTCTATGCACCGTTGTTTTATCACATGCGAGAATACATACATTTATGCAGATTTTCATTATTTAATTTCTTCAAATATAATGCAGGACTCGTAACATTTTGTGGCAACAGTTTGAAAAGTGAAACGGATATTTATAGTGATTCAACGCAAAATGAAAACAATAGTTCTTCAGGGTCAAAGATTCTTTGGACTAAAAACAATTAATGGATTTATTTCATACGAGTTGTTAGGGGAGGAGAAGCTAGAGGGAAGGGAAAGGAAAGGAAAAGCAATTTATTTATTTGACCAAATTTTTATTTCATTTCATTAAAAACATGCAAATCTGGTTATGATAAAATTTAATTTCTAAACTCGTCGGATTCGTTCTTTCTAACGCATATAAATACAGAAATTACTTGATCTGGTCAAAATGAGACCTAATAGCCCACATATACGATTTTACATAAGTCTGTGCTCATTAGGGGTGTGGGATAGCTTTTTGCAAAATTTGTATTTGTAATAAGTTACGAGAATCTTGTCATTGTATGATGATATGAAGGCCAAGAATTTAGACAATTTAGTGTTGTGCTTTTAAACGTTTTATAAAACCATCTATAAAAGAAATTTTTACGTATTAGACTTAAGTTCCGTGTTCTGCACTCCTTTTCTGTTTAAGGCCCACCAGCGGCCGAGCGGTAAAGCCGCTGAACACTGGTAGTTCGGTCCCGAGGTTCGAATCCCGCGAACGGGCTGGCTGCATGGGCGTTTTCGTGGTTTTCCCCATGTGTAACGTGTATACGAGCCAGTTTCCCCTTAGAAAGTCCTCCACGAAAGGCATCCCTCCACTTAGGCAGATAGCCCTAGTGTGATTTGCCATAATTAAATACACCACCACAACACCACCTTTTCTGTTTAATATCAGAGCTTCATAATAGCTGAAATCCTTTATAACGAAAAAAAAAGTCATCTGAAAGAACCCTCAGCAAACTTGTCTTAAGAGTTTTGTACGAAAACGTCTAAGTCAGAGAATTTGTACTCTTTGTCGTGGTCAGGTAGCAATAAATCAACTGAAACCAGGTAATTAAAAGCTTCATGTTCATCTTCGAATTGCTGAATACTTGCTATCTTTGGTAATTATTACACAAAAGAAAGAGTAATGACGCAAAAAATAGTTTTAAAACTGGTTATGTGTATAACTACAACAAAATGAAAAAATATTAAAATATTTAATTTCAATTTATAACTTGTATGCTTTTAAATAATTCATTTCTTTGTATAACCTATATTACAGTAAACATTCTCAAATTAAAATTTTCTTTTAATGATTAAATTTCCAGCTTCGTTCATGCCAGAAGAACCGTTGGCTGAAGATAATACGGTAGATGGTAGTTCCAAATACGACTTTCGAACATTTGGAAAGAAGGTTGTTGAATATCAAGGACTTCAAGAAACGGATGTGTAATTTTTAACTCGTTTTTTAAGCTCTACGCTAAATATGTACATCATTTTAGAATTTTTTAAACACCTGAAGTGTGCATGGCTGCAATTTTATTTATAGTGCCAGCTTATTGAAGATTTTGTACAGTTGTTCAATCTCTTCATATTAAATACGTTTTAATCCATTCAGATGCTTTTTTGTCATGTCTTTCTTTCACAGAAGGAAAAAATAAAAAAAAATTTCTATGGCAATGAAATAACGTATAGTAAATAAGCTTTTCTTATTTGCACACCAACTATTGTAACTGCATAATGTAGACATTCATTCAAATGGCTGAAATTGCTATTCATTGATAACTTTACTGATTTATTGAAAACATTAAATTCTTGATTAAAGAATTGAGCTGAAGAATAAGTATAAATTAGAGAAATTTTAATTGTTATACGATGTTTTATATCGGCAGCCAGGTTAAAGAACAGTATTTTTCTTTAATTTGAAAAATCGTTGTTAAATTAAATGTACTTTTTGACCATAAGCATGGTTATGAGAATTATTAACTTTTAAGAATGGAATGTTCTGTTTTCTTATTTAGTAAATTCATAACTTTTCTCAAGTGAGGAAAATAAAATTCCACCACTTTAGAAACCATGAGCTTATTGTTATTCACTATTCTAAAATAAACAGAAGTTTGTTTGCTCTACGATATAGTTTAATCTTCATCTGCAGGAAAAAATTAATTCCTAAATGTCGGGGCATAACTACTGAAATTAGGGGCACTAGAGCGAAGAAGGGACTTTGAAAACGTTGAACAGAAGTAAGCAAATAAAACGAAACGATGCAAAATTAAAATTTTACAAAATAAATAAAAGTGCCAAAAAATGAAGTTCAACCAACGACAAATAGCTAGAAAGTAATGCATCACAAAAACTGAATGAAAAGTTTTTTAGAAGTACTATTAGTAAGCAGATAAAACTACTTCCTTATTTTGGTTTCAAACTCATTACCGCCTTTTTTCAGGGCAGCTGAAGCTAACAAACATCCCCTGAATGTTAGGATAGCTCGGACGGTGAAGTCCCATTTTGTGCAGTGGCAGGTCAGCCGAAAAGAAAAATAAAGCAAGCCCTCGTTAACACGAATCCTTAGTCACCAAAAATAACGAGGTCATATTTAAAAAAATTGGTGTTAACTGGGGTCCCAAATTTTATTTTTGGAAATATTTTTATGCTCATTAATTATTTACAGTATATAGGTACATGTGTAACTGCAATAGTATGTTATGTAGGCCGTCACAGAAAGATCCACCAGCGGTCGAGCGGTAAAGTCGCTGAACATGAGTAGTTCGGTCCGAGGTTCGAATCCCGCAACACAGCTGGCTGCATGGGCGTTTTCGTGGTTGGAAAGGATTCAGATTGACTTTTCCTATCCCAATGCAGAATCTTGTAATAAAGATCTTAACATGTTAAAATTAAGAAGTGTAATATCTCGGACTGGTAGGACTTGCCTTGGTCCTGATGGCATAAGTTATTTGATGATAAAGTATCTGCCCCATGAATCTCTAGTGGTCTTTCTCGTTCTTTTATAATAGGGTATGGAAGGAACAAATTTTTCAAACTGCTTGGTGCAGGGCTTTTATAATCCCTATAGCAAAACCCGGCAAGGACCCGAAAAATCCTTTGAATTATCGCCCCATCGCGCTCACTAGCTGCCTTTGCAAGATTGTGGAAAAATAGTAAATCAGTCTCGCCTACTATCTGGAGAATAATCATTGCCTGTCGCTTACCAAAGTGATTTCCATAAGGGAAGATCTTTACTTGACAATGCCCTGTTCTTAGAAACCGCAGTACGCAATGCATTTGTGAAAAGAAATCGTATGGTTTCAATCTTCTTTGACATGGAAAAGACGTATGATAGAACTTAGCAGCATTGAATTTTTCATGACCTTTATAGCACTGGGCTGCAAGGTAATTTACCTACCTTCATTAAAAATTTTCTGAGGGACCACACATTCCAAGTTAAGATTGGATCGCTGCTATCTCGTGCATTTGTACAAGGTGTCCCCAAGTGTTCGGTGCTAAGTGTCACTCGTTTCAGCCTGAAAGTTAATTTCATTTTAAGATAACTTCCCCCACAGAACATGGTTCTCTGTATGTTGATGATTTGATGATCTACTGTCACGGTCAAGCTATGAGATATAATGAGAGACGACTGAAAATTCCTCTAAACAGAATAATGAAGTGGTCCAACAACAATGGTTTTAAATTTTCTAGCCAGAAGACCGTCTGCGTGCATTTCTGTTGCAAAAGAAATCAACATCCTGAACGAGGGCTGCATCTTGACTCTCCTTGATCCGAGTTGAGAAAAAATCAAAACTTCTACGAGTCTTATTTGACAGACAGCTCATTTCTTCCGCATATTTTAAATTTAAAGAAAAAAATGTGCTAAAGATCTCAAAATGCTGAACGTCCTAGCTAATAAATATTTCATGGGGACAAGAACATTGTTCTATGCTCCGCATATGTAGGGCTTTAATTCGTTCCAAACTTGACTATAGTTGTGTTATCTATAGATCAGCAAGACCACCTGTGCTACTGAAATTGGATCTAGTCCATCATCAAGCTCTACAGATATGCTGTGAAGCTTTCAGAACATCTCCAGTCCAAAGTTTATATGTCATCTGTTTTAAACCATCTCTGGAATTCAGACTTAAGCAGTTATCCCTTGAATTTCATTATCTAGTAATATAGCAAGCCCTTGAAGTAATATCGCAAGCCGAACATCCTGTCCGACTCATGACATCTGATCGGTACTGGCGTGTCTATCAAACACGTTCTTCATGTATCCAACATTTTGATCTTCGCATTCACTCACTAATCGAAGAATTCAACCTAAATGATCCCAAAAGCTTTTAACTTTTTCGGTATTTCTTCTTGGCATGAAATGAATATTCACCTACTTGACATTTTTGGAGGACTTAAGAAGAGCATTACCAATGATGTCCAATATCAACAAATGTTCCTAGAGCATAGAAGTCATTCTAACTATACAGCAATTTTTACTGATCTTATTAAATTTTGCAAAATGTGATGAGAAACATATCCAGAAATTTATCTTGGCTCAATTTTTCAGTTTGCGCCCAGAATGATTCACTTCGCGAAATTCTAAATTTATGGTAACTTATTTTCCTTTCTCTTTTGTCGTTCACTAACAGAGGTGAATCCTTCCTTCTTATTAACCCAAAACGAGCCAATATATAAATTTTGAATTCTTGAAAATTTTGAATAAAAGAATTTTTACCAGGTATGTCTAAAAACGCATTTACTTTATAAAATTTTATAATTTAAATATTTTTCGAAAAAAATAAAGAAAATTACTAAAAAGTACAAATTTTAAAAATAAATCGCAAAATAGCTGAGAATTGTTTTGGATTGAACTTTAATTTGTGAAAGAAGTCATCGAGTAAGTTTAATAAAAAAGATTCAATTAGCATTGAAAAGCTATAGTTTTGAGAGCTAATTTTTTAAAATATACTTGTGCGACTTTTGCAAAACTTGGTACTTTGGCATAACTTGAATCGTGAAATCGAAATATGGAAAAAATGGAAAATATGGATTTCAGTAAAAGTTAAATTTCATAACAAAATACCTACGTTAGAATAATGCTACACATAAATATAATGCATATCCTAAGTCGCGCTTTCCAGGCACGAAAAACGCAAGCTAAATTTCGTCAGTCGGTCCAGTAGAACGGGAAATGCAGAACTGTGCCTTTTTTTTCTGTGCAAAGTGTACATATATCTCCTGTGTTATACTTGTATAAGATTTTCCTTTAGTAATCTGCAAAATTATAATTTCTTTCATTGAAATTACACACAACTTAGTGTCTAGTATAGCGAACAACAAGATCAAGAACTTAAGAGCACGCCTACAGTAGAATGCGCATACGACTCTCAAAATAATATCATTTCGTTATTTCTAATGTTGATATTTAATTTTTTTTCTTTAAAATTAGTACTATTTAGGGTAAAAAAAGGGGATTAAATAAGGAAGCTTACGATCAGAATACTTTACATTCTGATTTTTATGTTAAATTTAATTATGGTATCATGGTTTTCATTCGGTAACGAATCGGACGTTCTCCGTTTAGACCGAATAAGGTTTATTTAAATAGTACATAAGGAAAAGATATAAAACAAGGAACTAGATATCAGAGGTATGGCACAATAAAGTGTGACGAATAGCAATTACTAAGGATGAACTGGAGTAACTTCGCCCTTATTTGAATATATATGTGGACTTAGCCGAATGCAAAAGTCGCAGTCTCGATAAGGTTTGTGGGTTTAGAAGTGAGATATACATGTTTTACAGTTTACTTTATCAACTGATATGAAGCTTAACAACGAAATTTATACTTATCAACAAACAACGTATATGCGATTCCATTCACAACTTTGAAAATCTAAAAATTCATCAAAAGTTTATTTTGTGTTTGGTCTGATTGTGGCAAAGCAGGAAAGGGCTGTGTGCCTTCGTGGAAATCATTCTAAAGAAAATTGTTACACATGGGAAAAACTATAAAAATACTCATGCAGCTAGCCTAATCGTCGGGATATGAACCCCAGTCGAAATGCCACTTTACAGCTCGGCTGCTGGTGAGACTAATCAAGAGCTTGAAAAATTGTACTGCGTCGCCCAAACGGTATAGAACTTAGCGAAGCCTACTGCGGTACGGAAGAGACCGGGTTCAGATCCCGGAAAAAGCATAGATGTTTGTATATGTATTGTGTCTTTACGGCATGTGTGTGTGTGTGTGTGTGTGTGTGTGTGTGTGTATGTGATTATGGCAAAGCCTCGAGGGCTATCTGCCTAAGAGGAGGGATGCCTTCGTGGAGGACTTTCTAAGGGAAACTGGCTCGTATACACGTTACACATGGGGAAAACCACGAAACACCCATGCAGCCAGCCCGTTCGCGGGATTCGAACCTCGGACCGAACTACCAGTGTTCAGCGACTTTACCGCTCGGCCGCTGGTGGGCCCTTTACGGCATGAGGACACTCTATATATATATATGGTGAAGCGAAAGTCCCTTCGATAAGTTAGTGCTAGGGGGAGAGGAGTGAGAGACCTTCGGACCCGTCCCTCCCCCGCTGTGCTATCCTTCAAAATTGGTGTCGGAACTGAGGGAAG